GGAAAATAAATTGTAAATTTTTGGCTTTTCCCTCCTATGATATGCCAAGGCACTATGTCAGCACCTGAAGGTATAATGAGAATGTGGGCTACGTGAGTATGTTTTCATAGTATGTGTAAATGTGAAGAAATGGCTTCACCTGGCCTAGCAGTGACTTGATTTTTTTTTTTGAGTCACCAGCCTTATGCCAGTCGAAAATACTTTTAAAATGCTGTTTCTTTTGCACATTTCTCCCAGCATAGTTCTTTTTTTAAAAGCATTTTCAACCCTTTCATTATGGAAGGTTTCAAATACAAAGGAAATAGAATAACACAGTGGACGTTTTTGTGCTCATTGCCCAGCATTAGCAGGTGGCAGCATCTGCGCCTGCATCGTCCACTCCTCACCGCGCTGCCTCATTTAAAGCCAGGTGCTTTTAGAATGACACGTTTGTTCTCACTGCATGCAAGATCGACTGTGCCCTTACTCAGGAAGAAATGTGGTATTGTAATTCTTGGACGAAAAGCCTACTAATCCAAGTGCAGACAAGATGGAGATGTAAGATGTGTACGTGTTAAACGTTTCTCGAAACAGCACAGGCAAGGTGACAGAAGGGTATAGGCCATTCTCAGATGACATTATTGTTTGGTGTTGAGCTCAGTTATCATTGACACTAAACTCCAGGAAAGGTTTGGAACATATCCTGAAATTCATTTGAGACTATCTCACATTTCAAAAATACGACCAAACTAATTACAGTTTTCTGTTTGTAAAAGAATAAAGGATGCAATTAGTTTCTGAAACTCTATATGCTTAAAATGTCCTAAAGTTCGGTTATATGCCATTTCTTTCTTGACTCTCTCCCTTTTTTCCTTGAATGTTTTGTATAGTGTTTAATGAGATTCCAACAGTAATACTAACAGTTTACAGTTCTGAGCACTGTTCCAAATGCTTTTACATAGATTCTCATTCAGTCCTTGGAATAAGCCATTTCACAGACGAAGAAAGTGGAGCTCAGGTTATACAGGAAGGAAGTGTTGGCATTTGAGACAGGGCAGGCAGGGAAGGAGGCCTTTTAGGAGATGACATTTAAGTTGAGGTAGCCCTGATGACCCAGGGGGCACTGCAGATACAAAGGCCCTCAGGTGAAAATAATCCTGCTATATGTGAGAAAAAGAAAAGGGTTTGGCTGAAGTGTGAGCCGGGGAAGATGAGTGGCTATGAGATGGTTGTCTTCGATAGAATGCTGGCTTCTGAGAACAAGGCTCTCATCTGCAGTCAGTGCTGGATCCACGGTGCTCAGCATGCTGCCTGGCACGCAGTAGGAGCTCCATATTTTTGGCTAACTCTAGTTGGAAGGTTGGGCCAGTTTGTTTGGGACAGGCAGCCTAAACCATAACCCTAAAGCCATGTATGTCTCCACCTGTCACTACGGCCTCTTGACAGGCAGTCAGTCTGGTCCATCAAGGCCAAATGTCTAGTTCTTCAGGCAACCTGTAGTAGATTAGAAGCTGTCATTAAGCCTGACAGCCTTGCCTTTGTTAAGGGTTGGGAGAAGTCAGGAGACCTGTGAGTGGACAGTGGACTCTTGAGGCTGGTCCTTAAGGAGCCTGAGTTTTTCCTTAGATTCCCCCAAATGGAGAAGAAACCTGGGAGTGATTTAGTCTGGCACCTCCTGTGACTGGTCATCTTTAAGAAGAGGCAGTAGTCCTTGACGTCTTGCTCTGAAGAGGACACCTGCTAAGCAGCTTTTTAAAGTTAATCTCTGGGAAGAGGACAGGGAATGGAGACCATTTCCTCCTTATGAGCTTCTGGACATTAACAGGGTCAGCCCCTCCCTGGCCTCCTTCCTGTTTTACTCTTAAGTCCAGAGATAAATACAGTATGGCCCCAACCAGGAGCCCTTCCTGTCCCCAGATCCTCATCGGAAAGTGAAGGGGCCCATTGTGTCTTTGGAGTGGTTTTTACTGTTATCTGACTTCTGTGGTCTGAGGTAGGGTGCTTGAGGTAGAAGTCAGATTGGCTTCAGGAGCATGGGGTCCAGACTAGGGTCGAGTCCTGCCTCCGCGGCCTGCATGCCATGTGCCTTTGGCCAAGATTTGCCCAACCTCTCTGAGTTAGTCTCCCCAACCCCTGCTTATAAAATAAGACATCTATCCTCCATCTTACTTCTTCCTCATGGTCCTTGGTTCTGTTTTCACACAGTTATTCCCAGCAAGCTGTTATGCACAGTCCTGTTCATTAATAAAACTCATGCTGCAGCAGTTCTGCCAGTACATAGGCTCTGGCTTAAAACAGTGTATTTGCTGTGCCAGGTTTACCTGTAGTATCGCGGGCAGCCTCTGCTCAGTGATGTTATCAAATGCACCTTTCTTGAATGGTTGAGATAAGTGATACGAAAGGTGTTTGTGTTATTGGGGGATTTCTGAGTGTGTGTTTTCTTGCTCTGCCTTTTCAGTACCACTGAAGGAGAAGAGGCTCCTGGATGTCAAATTAGGGGAGCTGCCAAGCTGGATACTGATGCGGGATTTCACCCCTAGAGGCATTGCTGGAGCGTTTCAAAGAGGTCAGAGCCTTAAGGGCGTGCGTAAATAAAAGCAAGTCTCTGGGCCTTCAGGTCTCTTTTTGCCCTGAATTATTTTGGCCACTAAAAGCCTTGTCTAAGACCAGTTAGTTATGTAGAGAAGGACATGGCAAGATTGTTAGCCCTTGAATTTCCTTGTTTGATTGGTCCTGTCAAAGGCGGGCTCTGAGGTATTTCAGAAAAGGCAGTGTTTTCTGTTGCTTGGAATCAGTACCACTCCCTCCATCTTAAAGAACTGTTGTAAGACTTAAGATGAAAATGAAGCATAGGGGACATCAGTCCACCATGCTCACCCCCTGCCAGGCAGAACTTCCAAGATGAATATTTGAAATGGTCTGTCCTTCAGGCCTGTGCATTTTAAAGTGCACTAGTCAGATTGGTCCTGGGGAACCCATGTCATCATCCTTTGGGGGCCTGTGAGGTCGCCAGCCTCTTCGGAGGCCCCTCCCCTTCTGTGTTCGTCTTTATAATTCTGGCCACTCTGTGGCTCCCTTTTGCGGACTGTTTCCTCCTGCCCTCAGGCCTTTCCTCAGTTTTTTCCTCATTAGAACGGGCAGAACGTGGCCTCCTCTCCTGTTTGCAGGTTACTACCGGTATTACAACAAGTACGTCAACGTGAAGAAAGGGAGCGTCGCGGGGCTTTCCATGGTGCTGGCAGCTTACGTGCTTTTCAACTACTGCCGCTGTTACAAGGAGCTCAGTGAGTCTCCGGGGTTGCTCTGCCTGCGGTGGGGTTTCCCATGGCAGGGTGATGCTGGCTCACTGTCAGATTTAGTTAGAAGTGCATCATTCTCCTGACAGCTGAGGGATTGGAAGGACTTACCAAAATACAGTATATAAGATATTATTTTAAGTGAGAAAATTGGCATAGAGAAAGATAGGAAAAATAAGATGAAGCTGGGGTGAGGGTAATACTTAGGCAGCATTCTGTAGGATACTGCAGGCTCTCTCAAAGGTTGGTGGGAAATCCGGCTGTATCTTCCCAGCAGCCAGTGTGAGGAGGGAAACAGGTCGAGTGCCACAGTCCGGAGTCTGTGCAGCGCTCCGTAAAAGCATGGTTGGTCCTGGTGCTGAGACCGGAGAGGAGTCAGTCTGATGGGAAGTGCCAGGAACAGTGTGCAGTGGCCACCGATTGGGTTGCCTGGGCCATTTCTGACAGCATCCAGCCCTCTGCTAGTCTGTGGTGCCCAAAGCAACGCTGGCCGTGAAGGACAGGGTCTTGGGCATGGTTTGTCTGAGTAGGTGTCCCTCCTAGGAAGGAAGAGTCTGGCCAGGTGGCACGTTAGCACCCAATTCTGCAGGTTCTGGGCCATCTGAAAGGAAACCTCAGGATGGCTTCTGTGACCTTAGCCTGCTGCCCTCCCCGTCAGCCTGTGCTTTGACCACACCTTTGAAGAAACTTACCATTTTGCTTTCTAACTTCAGAACATGAGCGGCTGCGCAAGTACCACTGAAGGAGGCGCACTCTGCATTCCTGACCAGGACCTTTGCCCTGCACCCCTGAATCCTTTCACATCCTACTAGAGAATCACCACCCAATAAAAGATGACTGTACCTGGACTGCCTCATTGGTTCAGCTGTTCCCCTGCGTGCTGGTAGCTCCCACCGCACAAGGTGGGATGGGGTGGTTCTGCCCAGTCTAGATGTCCTGGGTCTAGAGCCTCCCGTCTGCAGTGCTGAAGTGGCCTCCTGTGCTGTGCCTTGTTTTTGGCCTTTTGTGAGCTGACACTGTCACAGTATAGAGCAGCCCCGGGTTCCTAAGAATGCCTTCCCATCCCCTACCCTTTTGTACCACCCTGGGGGTGTTGGGGTACCAGGGAGTCAGGACGTGTGGGAAGGAAGCTCAGTGGGATGATTAAGGGGAGTAAGGGGACGCACAGGCCCTGATAAGCACCCACAACTGCCCCTGTATCCAGCACTTCTTCCTTACCCTTCACAAAGGCCTTCAGAAAAGTGACATTAGGTCAGAATTGGTTTCTTGTTAAGGGACGTGTGGTGAGCATATACACGGCATGGAGCCTAACATGGTGAGGTGCTGTGGCTAATTATGTCCTAGACGTCTGAATTAGAATGAACAAGTATCTAACATCTGAAATGAAAGATGCCTGCCAAGTGGTCATCCCAAAGGCCAGGCTTTCAAACTTTACCAGCTACTGGTACAAGGCCTCTCTTTCCTTGGCAGCATCACTTCCCATCATGAGATTCACCAAAAGGGCAAAAGTGAGCACCAACGTCAAAGCTTTGTGCCAGGCAGCTACTACAGCCAGTAGCAAGAATCTTCTCAGCACAGAGTCCCTAAAGTGATGAGACACAGCTTAAAAAACAAGCTTTAATTAATCAACTTCATAAAAATTGTTTTTGTAATCGAATAGGCCCACTCGCCCAGCAGGTCGCAGGTGCGTTTCACATTTCCAGGCTCAGAGGCAGGGGCCCCTCCTCCAGGCCAGAGGTGTCCGACTGACCGCACAGATGCTCCATAGGGCAGGAGGTAGGTACACAGATGGACTGCATCATCTGTGTAAAGGTGTCTGCAGCTCCGGCCTAACATAGACCTTAAACACTGTCAAGCAGGTGCCCCAAGAAAATAACCCCAGAGGGAAAAGACCTTCACATGGGAGAGGCCCGCGCCCTTCCTCTCAACAGCTGCTACCTGGGAGCGGGCCCCGGTGCACTTGAGCTTGCCCTGAAGGGCTGCCTCGTTCAAATCACACAGATAGGCACAGCCTAATTCAGCAGGACAGGAAGAAGCAGGCACACCCTGGCCGCAGCTTTAAATGATCCACCGGCCCCCCCGGTGTTGAATAAAGCCCTGAAGGGAAGGGCCATCTTCCATACAGAGCTGCTGAGCATGGCTCTTCCCCACAACTCCCTCCCCAGAGAGTGGTATGCAGGGAGCCCCAGATAGGCCTCGATGCCTACACAAACATGATGCCAACTTGAGGGACCAAACTGGAGCACATGTCCTTTAAAAAAAAGGTCACAGCAAAATGACAGGGAAACTGACAAGACATAGCCCCACAGAATAAAACCCAGCGCGCCCGCCCGCCAGCTCCAGCCAGAGCTGCCCCAGCACTGGCACTGAGCAGTTAAATGCACACTCCCAAGGACAGCCCGGAGTGGTCCCCAACAACAGGCCCCTCGGGCTGCTCTGGGCTGGCTCCAGCTGCTGTCACTGTCCACTGAGAAAGGCCAAGTGCCCTTTGGTGCATCTGTTGGCGTAGTGTCCTTTTTCACCACACTGGGAATAGCAGGAAGGGAAGGAGGAGACAAAAAAAAAAGTTTCAAATGCAATTTTCAACTAAGGTGGCACCCACCAAATACCAGGTTGGGGACAGGGACTCTGGAATTCCCAGTGGTAGATTTTCATTCAAACATGAGGGAAAAGGAGCTTTAGAAGGTACAGCGGTGCAGACACTGCAGCCAGCAGCTCAGCAGGTAGAGGAGACCGTGCGACAGAAAGCGCACGGCAGGGTGGGTGCTGCTCCGGGCAGGGGTGGGCCCACGCCAGACACGGAAGGGCTCTTGTGGGGGCGGGACGAGAGGGCCGTGGCACCAGAGCGCCCCGCTGCACGCTGGCCAGTCACTTACCTCTGAGGCACCCATCTGCGACTCCCTGGAGACGGGAGGCACCAAGGCGAGAGAAGCCACCAGGCTCCTCCCCCCACTGAGGGATTCACTGCGTGGACAGGAGGGCTGCGCCCAGTTTTCCCTCCTGGCTCCTGCGTACTGGCCTAAGCTACCCCTGGGGATAGGTTTTGGTCACAGGACCAGAGAGACGGGACACTGATGAGACTTGGTGAGCAGACCCGGTGGAATCACCTCTCAGAACTCTAGCACTGACCCCGACTTGTCCCGGCTGGTTTTCCAGGCCCTTCCTTAGCTTCTCTCCATTTGTTCTTGTTACTCCTCAAAGAGCAGAAGGGAATTACAAGGAAGGAGAGGGCAGCCTTGAGCACTGGACAAGGGGAGGGAGGGAGGTGGTGGGGGCAGCCACGCTGCGCCCTCCCAGTCCCTGCTTCCTCGGCCTGGGACTTGGGGCTCTACTTGGTCACCGCCCGGAACTCCTGCCTGCTCTGTTCCCCAACCCCACAGTCCCTATGTTGTCCAGTCTGTCTGATCTATAGGTGTGACTCGTGGACGAGTGGCCAGGGGAGCTGCTTTGGCAGGTGTGATAACCAGGGGGAGGGACTTGGTGACCCTGCATACAGCACTTGGCTTGTCCATTGGCCTCTGCAGCTGATCCTGGGGAATCCAGGATTCCCACAAGGTGTCCTTAATATTAACTGTGATGTCCCCGTGGTAGGAAGAGGCTGTTAGGTTCGTCCCCCCAGCCCCACCCCCACCCGTCTGAGGTTCCAGGACTCCGGAGAGCTTGCTTGACTGAGGCCCTGCTGGAGTCCTGGGTGGGGAGGGCAAGAAGACAGCTCAGCTGACTCAGGACACCTGAGTTTTCTCACTGTTCTTGAGAACTGCCTGGTGGGAAGCCATCTGCCCGCCTGCCACCTCCCCTCACCTTCGTTCACAGCCCCCTTTCTAACTCGCCTCACCTGTTAGGGCTCAGGCTCAGAAACCTCTGAGGCCCTCCCTAAGTGCATGTGCACTTTCACCTTCGGCGTCTGGGCACCTGCCTTCCCCTCCCTCGGAACCAGACCCCTCCCAGCAAGGAGCACAGCAGTCGGGTTTCTCAGCCAAGCAGGTGCTCACTTGGAGGGTCTGATGGCCGACAGGTGGCCAGAGGCTCAGCCTTTCTTAAAGGCAAGCTCTAGGAACAATATAGGCATATGCTTTTTTGACTTGGCGTGTCTCCTTGTAGGCATGGCTGCTCCAGACACCAGACGGGAGCTCACAAATGTCAGATTCAGCACTGCTTTTAGCAGCAAAGACTATAGATAACTGTTTACTAACAGAGAATTGGTGAAATTATGCGGTCCCTCAAATACATTAGATTTCCATATATTGACATAGATCTAGAACATGTTATAAAGAAAAAAGATGATAGAATGTACGTACTCGGGCCCTATATATATTAAAATATGTACTGTCCTTATGCTTATGTGAGTAAAAGCTTAGAAGAGACTTCTCTGAGCGGGGTCCCCTTCAGGAGTTTTACAGTGTTAAAGGAGGGTACTGAATACAAAACACATGAGGACAGAAGAGCTGAGGAAAGTGGCTCTTTTAGGAAAGGTTGGGAATAAGGTACAACACTCACCTGTACCCTAAACAATGCTATGTCATCTAATAAAAGGTTTTTAACAAAAGCACAAACTAATTTTGTATTTTGCCTTGTGATCCCCAAATCTGAACTCTTTGTGAGTCTTGTTCTATTATTACTCACTTGGTGGTACTTGTTACCTTTTCTGATTCGTGACTTTAAATTGTGAACTCATTCTTCAGAACTCTAGTTGTGGAAATTCTGTGTGACCTGTGTTGAGACTAAATTTCTCAAAGCCAGGCACCCAAGCTCACCCATCCGGAGCTGTTTCAGACTGGAAAACTCAGTCTGTAGCCCTGCTCTTCAGCCCTCACCAAGGGCGTAGACACAGGCCCAAACCCAAGGAAAAGGACCTGCCTGTGGCCATAAGCTCTGAAGGGGCTTTTCTCCCCACTTTCCATCCAGAGCCAAGAATGAAACAGACAAGTTTTCTAGTAGGTTTTTAAAATTTTACCCTTTCCCAGAGCATCCTGTTTTCTGGGGGGAGGAGTGGTGGGAGGGGGATTCTAATCCATTTCCTCCCCAGGTAGGCCTAAAGCATTGTCCCCCCACCTTGGGTGTGTCACGTGGGATCTGAGAACACTCAGAGACTTCAGGACTCTTCTCTGTTCCTTGGATTCGTGCTCCCACTTTGTTCCGGGCCTTAAGACATTCATCAAAATTAGCTAACTCTCTGGGGAATGAGGGAATGGCTGCTGACTGTGAAGCCCCCGCCCCGCCCCCCAGCCCCAGGACTCACCTTGTAACAGGTGACCTGCTCCAGCGGCCGGGGTCCCCGGTTGCCTGCGCTGCTGTTTTGACTCTGCATGACCCCGATGACCTGCGGGGCTCTCTGCTGATTGGGAGAAGAGTTCTGACTCGTTAACTGGATCAAGGAGGACGACCTTTGTAATGGCGGATTGTTACTTTGCTGGAAAGAGTTACACAACACGGTTTTACTGCGGAAAACGCGTGCACGCGGACTACCAATGGGGACGGAAAAAAAGAGGGCGGGACTTCTCCCGCGTGACCAGCAGGAAGAAGGGCTTCCGCAGTGGCCCTGCTCGGGAGAGCGGGCGGCAGAGAAACATCTGGCGATGATGGCAGGAGCCACTGCCCGAAAAACACCATGCAGACACACAAAAACGAAAAATAAAAGTTGAAAACAAAACACCAAAGAGACGAGGCGGTCTCTGGGGTGGCAGGGCGAGGGCATGAGCAGGCCTTACTTTTGTTTGTGAGGTTCTAGCTTCAGGTCAGGATGAACGCTTGGTTCAGCCAGGTGTTTAGCAGCCTACACGGCGAGCAAGTCACAGAAAAACAGTTGGAGGCTGACAGGCTGACCTGTGGTCTAGGGGCTGAGGGGCCCTCCGCTAGGGAGTCACGTGAGCGAGGGGGATGGGGCTCCTGGGGTGGGGCCTGGACAGCAAGGCCACCTCCCTACCGAGTGGGTTCCTGCCTCTGGCCCCATAAATGTAGGAGCCCCGAGCTGGAGCCCCCGTTGTGGTGGCTGCGCCCGCACGCAGCCATGCCCAGCTCTGCCAACAAGGAGTTGCGTCTGATTTACCCCACACCCTCCTGGCGGGGGCGTGGGGGGTCAGTGCAGTGAATGCAGCCGCCTGCGCGGAGGAGGGCCAGGCAGGGCTTCAGCAACGGGCTGAGTCCAACCAGGTGAGAGGTGCAGACTTAAGATCGCAGGGCAATTTACTCAGCCTGTTGAGACCCTGCCTAGGACACCCGGCCAGCCTTCCTCTGGGCCCCCAAACCCCCATCCTATAACCAAACCCCAGGTGCCCTTGGTTTTGGGGGCACTGCTGCAGATCCCCATTTGTCTGTGGCAGTCCCTCTCCCCATGCTTGAGGGGACCAGCCCACCACTAGGTGGTGGCAGCCCCTCACCTAGGAGACCGGAGCCAGCTGGTCCTTCAGCCCTCTCTTCCCAGCACCCCTCCCTGCAGCCGGGAGCCTCTCCACCGAGCAGTAACGGCCCAGCCAGAGAACCAGTCAGCCTCAAGTCTGCTCCTGCCCAGCTGGGGCCTCTCACATGAGTCCCGCTCATAGAGGGAAGGGTCTGAACCAGAAGCAAGAGCAGCAGACACGTGGCGCCCACGCCGCCCTCCAGTCTGGCTCCTGGGGCCGGCGCTGAGCCATCTCGGCACTCACCCGCACTCACCCGGCAGGAAGGGAGAAGCCCAGCGGGCCTCCGGCCCCAGCAGACAGCCCTCCACCTCCAGAGAAAGGTGCAAACTGATCTGCTGCCTGGATTTCCTGCTGGAACCAGGGTGACCCCCCTCCTCTCCCGCCTCCTCCCTGCCCTCCTCTCCCACAGTCGCCAGGGCTCCAACCCAGTCTACAGCAAGCCCCGCACTGAGGCAGGCACTGTGTTTGTTGCTGCAAGGGCGCAACCAGGGCCAGCGGCACCGCAGGGCCGGGGCACAGTACCTTTGCAGGTGGCTGCGTCTGCTGTGGCAGTGGGGGCTGCTCGGTGGTTCCCATCGGCAGTTCAAATCGAGGGCTAGTCACCAGGCAGCAGGAGGGGATAGGAACAAGAGAAGGAGAAGACGAGGTGAGAGAGATGAGAGGCCAGGTGGGATTCTCAAGTTCTGGCCCCAGGAAAATCACAGCCAGCCTCTAGCCAAGCACAGAGCAACACAAACCACCTGGAGGTGGGCTGGGTGCTGGCGCTCAGCTCCACCCCTGCACCCCTGGAGAAAGGAAGGAAACACAGGCGGTACCTTCAGAGCCTCTCCAGAGGCACTTCGTACACAGAAGGCCCTCCCTACACACACCCTCCCCTCAGGGTCCGACAACAGAATCCCTGGGGGACATACCAACACCCCTCCAGCCCCTGCCCCGCTAGGAGGGATCACCGGGCCACTTGTAGTCCCCTGGGCTGCCACCTATGGAGTGGGACCAAGTCAGCAGCACCAGCCACTGCCCACCACGTGGCAGCAACACTGCTTCTGCGTAGGTGCCAGCAGTGTGGACGGAGGCAGCACAGGGAGGTCACTACGGTCCCAGTGCCACCCCACAACCACCCAAAGCACTGAGGCCCAGGAGAGGAACGATGGGCAAGGAGGTTCTGGATTTAGAGGACACAGACCTGTGTCCTCATGACCCTAGCCAGTGGCTGAGCTCTGAGCCTCAGTGTTCCCATGTATGAAATTGGGACCTTCTTTCACGTATGAGAGTTCCATGAACCAGAGTAACCCCAAGTTCCCTTCCTTTAGAGCACAGGTTCTTGACCTGAGGTCCCTAAATGATCAGCAAGGTCGTATGTCCGTGTTTCTGGATCATGGGGCCCACAGCTTTCATCTGCGTCTAAGATGCCTGTGACCCAGCAAAGCTTAAGCACTGGTTTAGGCGCAGCCACCTCTGGGCTCAGGAAGCAGCGCTCGTCCCTCCCCACGTCCCACCCACCCCTGCCCCAGACGCTGTAAAGACACTACCCAGGACCAGAGCCCAGATGGACTCAGGAAAGATACAGGGAGCAGCAGGGCCTGGGCAGGGGCTGGCTACTCACTGCATAAATTTACACGAGGGCCCCTCCGGGCAGAAGCCCACGAGGTAATTCACACAGATGACTCTCCGCGTGTGCCGGTGCCTGCACAGGGGGCCTGTGGAGCCAAGCATCAGGGTCAGACTGTCACCCCTTCTTCGGTGGACACCTGCCCTCATGCCCCTCTGCCAGTCGGAGCCCTGCCCACACAGCTGCCTGGGGTGCAGAGACTAAGAGCAGGGCTTCAAGTGCTGGCTCTGGTTCTTATTCAGAGGAGACAGCAGGCAGGGTACACTACCTCTCAAATACCACCTTCCTTATCAAAAACACAGGTGAGAATGCAGTCCACGAGGGAGCCCGGGGAGACTCGGGGAGCTGAGGGTGTGAAAAAGCCTCACGAGCCCCTAAATGCCTAACCCCAGGTTTTGCAGGGACAGGAGGGACAGGCAGAGGGTCATGCGGGCGGGGGAAGAGAGGACTGGCCTCCGGGCAGGCAGCCCAGCCACCCAGACACCTACCGTGCTTGCAGAAGCCACGGTCGTACCAAGGACAGTCCTTGATCTTGGACTCGGGGTCGATGTGCAGGAAGGGACACTCCTTGTTGCTACACTCCCCTGCAGGGGGAAGCAAGACACGCATCCACCTGGGACAGCTGGGCCCAGACCCATCTCCACTTCTCCCAAGGCTGGCCCCGCTGTGCAGCAAAGAGGGCCAGCTGGTTCTGGTGTCCAGTGCTGGCCTGGCAGCCCCGAGACCCAGGGCAGAATGTCTCAGAGCCTCAGTTTCCTGACCTGTACGTGGGCTGTGACGGTCCTTCCCTCACAGGTGTCCATGCTGCCTTGAGGGTCAATGACACAGAGGTGGAAACACACTCAAGTAACTCATGACCCCACCCCTTACCCAAAGGAGGTGTCCTGGGTGATGTGGGGCAGGGGGGCCCAGATACACAAGCCAGCAGGAAGGAGACCAGCAGGAAGCCGCCGCTCTCCTCTGGCTCTGCTGATGCTGGGCGCTTCGTGTCTCTGGGCCAGGGCAGGGCAGAGGTCTGAGGAGTCGACCTTTTAGGGCAAAAGTGGGGAAGGTTTGGGAACTCCAGGCTGGGTCCCTGCAGCAGAACGTGAGAAAGCCTTTATGACAGCTCCTCTCAGGAGCAGCTGGCCCAGCTGCCACCAGCATCTTTCACCCAAGTACAGGCACTGCCGACCTGGGTGGCTGAGCCACCTCCAGTCCATTTACACATGAAAAGCCAGTCCCATGGCTACTGTTCAGAGCAAACTCCTTGAGAAACCTGCAAGTCCATCTGTGGTCTAGCCCAGCCCCCTCTCCAGCCACTGGCCTCCCAGCAACAAATTCCAAGTCCTCTGTCCTCTGCCAGGACTGCCCTATCTTAGCCTTCAGATCCCAGGCCTCACCTCCTCAGAAAGTCCTTCCCTGACCACTCTGCCTCAAGGACCCCACTGCTGTCTGTCTCCTTCAGAGCCCTCATCCTGAATACCTCTGCTTTGTCTCACTGCTGTTCTAGCTGCCTCTCTCCCTGGGCCCCTCAAGCAAAAGCGCCTCGGGGCAAGGACAGTGTCTGTCCTCTTTACCACTGTCCTCCCAGTGCCTCCCTGTGGCTTAGGTGACGGGAGCTGCAAACAGTGCGTCTGCACCAGGACAGGCTCTGTGGGCAAGTGCGGGCAGTGGATTGTCCCTGAGGCCTGGGGGGCTGCTCCAGGGCCATCAGCAGGGAAGGAGGGAACCCAGGCCAGCCTGCAGAGGTGCCCTTGGGAATCTGCCCTGGAGGGCTGGCTCCTGCCTTTGGAGACAGATGGGAGCCGGCTCCCAAGGAGAAGCTGCGGCCCTTCCACCACTGGTCCCCCTGCTGCCACGGGCGGGAGGGAGAGGATGGGGACCTGGGTAGCCTAGTTCCTATTTTCTATCCACCTTTGACTTTTCAACTTATGCTGCCTCGACCAAAAAAACCACAGCTATCATTAATAAGTCAGCAGGCCAAACCTGTTTGGGCTGCTGAAATAATTAGCATCTCCTCTGACAATAGCACTTTGAACACGAGCAGCGCTCCTCGGCCCAACACAGTACAGCAGGCTCCCTGCCTCCTGCCGGCCCCCGCCCAGGACATAGCCCACCATCACCCTGGCTAGCAGGACTTCTTTCTGGGCAACCTCCCCCAGGGCAGAGAGCCGGGGGATTCTAGTTATATCAGGGGGCAGCACATCAGCCCCACAGAGCCCTGGGCCAGCCCACCACCCCGGCCGGCCCTGGCTTCTCCACGTGTCCTCTAAGCAGAGATAAAGGCTACGTTTCAGTTTTGGGGTGAGGAGGACTCTTTGCCATCAGAAAACAGCCTCCCGCACCTGTTACTCTGGGTTATTTAGGATGGACAAATTACTACCCAGGATCACACTCCCAGGGAGAAGGAATCGACTTCTCAGGCCTGGGGGGCCACCCGGGAAGCAGCAGCTGATTCAGGGGAGCACACCCACCGGCGGAATCGAGGCCTCCAGCTGGCTGTGCTGCTCACGCACCCACCCCGAGCCCCGGATCAGTCTCCAGTTCCCGAAGCACCTATAAGTGCTTGGAAAACAGCACTACAGACACGGGGATCACCGAGAGCAGCCCCACTCCCCATGACTGAAGGGCCAGCAGAGGAACTGGGGCCGCCGCTGAGCCCTCCGGGCTCTCATTCCCAGTGCATCCTCCCAGGCGCCCGGCCCGGAGTCTGGGGGTCTGGGGGGCGGGGGCCCAGCCGGCCACCTCACCGAACTTGGAGTAGAAGTAGCACTCGGGCATCTTGGTCATGTCGTACTCGTGCAGGAACTCGCACTGGTCCCCCTTCTTGCACAGCCCCCGCAGCCAGTGTTTGCACACAACGGTCTTCTCGCCGCTGATGTGGCGGAACGGGCACATGCCCCCTGCCGGGGAGAGAGGTGGCCCTAAGCAGGGGCTCTGGGCCTGGGGGAGCAGAGGCCCCTTCACCCCACACCTCCCCCAAGCGCCTGAAAGCAGCATGTCCCGGCAGGTGGGGGCTGCCCTGGCAGAAGGCAGTGTGATCACAGGCCCTTCATGAGCACACGTTTCAAGTTTTGGCAGTTATCGATTTCATTTTAACGTATCTTGGAAAAATCTAACTAAAACACCAAATCATGACTTCACAGATAATTCTGTAAGATGGAAACTTAACAAGCCCTAAGGGCAGTGGTGGGGCGGGGTGGTGTTTTTCTTAATCAAAGAATAGTTACAGTGATAAAGACATGGCCAAATTTGCAGGGGCAGTAAAAGAAAGCCTGGCGTTTGGGAGACACAGCCTCAAAAGACGGAAGGTAAACAGGACCACCAGCAGAAGCCTGGACTCCAGGCAGGCTCCATCTCTAGCTAAAAGCACCCACTCAGACTCCAAGACTTAAGAAAATCAATTTCAGGATTGAAGAAATGCATTGTATACAGACCAGGGGAGGTCCGCCTTCTGCAGGAAGACCTGAGCGATCAATCACCCAAACAGGACAGAGCCGTACCCTGGGAAAGTCCTGTTTCTAATTGGTGCCCTGGTGGGACTAGTGGGAAGGCCCGACCACAGTGAGATGTGACTAGAAGAGAGCTAGACCAGCCCTGTCCGACAGAGCTTGCTGCGGGGTTGGGGATGCTCTGGATCCACGTGGTCCAGCACGGCAGCCACTAGCCACACATGGCTGTTAACCAAAACACGGCTAATGTGACTAAAGAACTTCCCATTTTATTTCATCTTGATTAAACCCGAACAGCCACACGCCGCATATAAACCCGAACAGCCACACGCCGCAAGTGGCTATGATATTAGTTAAACGGAGATACTCGTACTGCCCTGTGTTAAGGATGGCTATGCTTACAGAAGGTGGTGAGTCAGGAAGGCAGAATTACTGAGCAAAGACAGGAATGAGACCAGGAGCCCAGCAGGGCAATAAAGTTCCAGAGAGCCTGAGGTCAACCTGGCTGCTCTACCTGGCCAGGTAAAGGACTTGGGTTACAGAACCACAACTTTCCCAAATCACCCATCTGCTGGCTCAAATTCTGTGCTCTCTATTCAAGCTTTGGATTAAAATTTAGTTTCCACAGACATGTGGCCACGGGAAGAAAAATATCCAGACCCATCCATGGTACGTGAGGTCCACCCAGCAATCTGGCTTCTCAATCAGTGAGTCTGGCTCACGCCGCCTCTGCTGGGACCCGGTTAGTACGAACAAGAACTCCACGAGACACACAATCACGGAGTGTTTTTGATGAGAGGACGCATAGGATGTGAGCTTGTGTAGACTGTAGATTCAGAAAGGCCTGGGCTGAGACACCGGGCTCAGCCATTCACTAACTCTGTGACCTTGAGAAAGTTCCTGAACACCTGTTCAGTGCTGGGGGCCTCTATCCATGTCACAGGTCAGCTCGTGGCCTCCAAGAATGTGAAGGCAAGAAGGCAGACTGACAGCCAGCTTCAGGCCTGTGTTTCAGGTTCTGGGCAGAACACCCCATCACATTCCTAGCCTATCCACAGCCCAGTTTCATCTCGGGACACTGAGTCTGCCGAAAGCAGGGCAGGCCAGGGATCCGAGAGCCTGAGAGTCTGCTGGGGAGTGGGGGGTGAAACATACCTCACAGGGAATGTCGGGGAGCCAGGACTCTCTTACCTTTGCCACAGGCAGCCTTCAAAAAGAACTCACAGACAGCAGCCCCCGACTCTGCAGAAATAAGGAGAGGTGTCAAACAAAGCGGGGTGCAATTACTACTGGTGACATCTGGCCTTTAACCTATGGAGGGTTCAAAGTACAGGACAGAAAGTGGGGGGGAAGTACAGCCCAATCAAGCAAGCAAAAAGCTCTTATTTCAGTCGTTCCTGTAAATGAGACATAAATGCTGAGACCAGTCATCACGCAGGGCTTTCTGAGAGCTTCCTCTAAGAAAGATGCTTTCAAGGAGCTAGGAGTGGGTGGGGGAAGCAAAAAAGGAGCCCAAGATCACAGAAATTAATTACCCCCGCTCAGACCTTCCAGAGGGCTAGTTCAGAGGCATTTTAAACCCGAGGCAGAGGGAGGGAATGATCTCACAGGAAGCACAAACAATTGAATTGGGAGGGGGACGACTCTGAGGTGCCCTGGGGATGCCAGTCTGGAGGGAAGAGCATAAGGAAGACACAGGAGCAGGACTGCTCTCAACCTGCACCACCAACACACGGCAATTAAAGGAGCTCGGTCTTCCATGTCCACAGGTGCAGCTGGTTCAGGTGAGCGGAACAGGAAAGAGAAAGGCTGAGCGCAGGGGCAGTGAGGTCCAGGGCCGTCCATTGAGCCCAAGAATCCAGCTGCCACAGCCACCAGCATAAACCGTCCGCGTCTTCATCAACTGTCGTCTTCATTAGCAGGCAGTTTAGAGTTGCTCAAACCCACCAACAGCATCTCTGAAGCCCACTCACATGCCTCTCCTCGCTAACTTGCAAGAGATTTGTTGGCTTCTTGGAAGAAGCAGGCAGGTTTCGCTAGGGTAGATTTAAGGTTACAGAAGTGGATGTCACAGGGGTGTCACTCGTTTGTATTTCAAAATGTAGCATTTAAGAGTATTTCTGGGCCTTCATTCTTTTGACGTGAAGACTGATTCCTTAAAAGCCAAAAGAAGTCCACAGTCCTGGAGACTGGGTCTTCAGCAGACAGGATAAAGGAGTATGCCTGCAGGGCAGAACTGACGGTTCTTCTCAATTTCTTCTCCAAATTAAGACAGGAGTTAAGTGCAGGGACCCGGGAGGAAGGTCTGTGCCCTCGCTGAGCTCCAACACACTGAGCGATCGAGGGCAGGCAGTGAGTCTAAGGGTGCTTACCAAGTCTGATGCCCCGGGCTGGGGTTATGTCCTGGACCCCCCTCTAAGAACACGTTTGTGGGCCCCTCAATGTTGTACCTGCCCTCACAGGCTCAAGTATCTGTGGTCCCAGGCTGGAGAGGGGCGGGAAGGAAAGAGCTGCCCTGCAGGGAAGGTTCCATGGCCTCAAGCTAGTGCCATCAACATAAGAAAAGGCCATATATGCGAGGGTGGATCTGCATTTAAGCAACTGCTTTTAAGTCGTGTACAGTGGAGACACTGCTTGTGTGTATAGAAAGAAAAGTTGTTAGAATTATGTCTCCTGGGTATAAGCATTATTGCACAAAGAAGTGTTAGCACAAGAGGGACAAATCAGAGGTCACGTATGCATGACAACTGTGGCTGCTTGAGGGGAATGAGGCTGCAGGGAGACTCTACCAGCCCAGGGACAGGTGGGAGAATACCGGACTGTGGCCCAGGTCCTCTGGCACATATGGGGAGAGGCACAGGGAACTGCAGATAGAAAGGGAAAGAACCCTGGCTCCACCAGGAATTGAGCAGTCTTCAGCAAGTCCCTTCCCCAACCCGGGCCGATGCTTGAGCTCAATGACCTCTAAGGGCCCACTGAGCTTTCCTGCTGTAGCATTAGATTTCAAGTGTGTCTGGAAAGGGGAGCAGAAAACTGCTGGTTTCTTTTAATGTGCTAGACGTCCCATCTGAGTTGAATGGTGGGGGAGGCCAGGGAGCCACCATGACAAGGGGGAGAGTGAAGGGAACTCAGGCAGCTGCCTGGGTGCGAGGAATGACCCAGAGGTGGAGTCCAGAGAAACAGTGAGGGATGGGCTCCCAGGAATGCGAGTCCTAGGAGGAAATTGGAACTTCAGAGTCTCACAGGGGGTCTACTACGAAGAGAAGGAGGTGGATCCTTCCCTCAGCAAGACTCCTTCAACGGCCCAGCTTTGATGAAAGCATGAAGATGGTGCTCCAAGTTGGGGGCTGCAGGGTGGGGAAAGGGGATATCTTAGTACTTTCTTGTAGTTGGGGAGTGTGTGCGAGTGGGGACAGGATTTCCAATCCAGGATACCCGCCTTCACTCAAGAATTATTTGAACTGCGGGACGTGGTCCTGCCCTTCTGAAGACTGCTTTAGAATAGTCCCCGGGGATCGAAGATTGGGGTAGAAGGCTCCAAGTAAGGGAAGAAAAGGGGAATCCAAGGATCGTGGGGAAAGGAGTCCCGGGACCGAAGTCCCGGGACCGAGGGGGAGAAACTCTCGAGCCGAGAAAGAGGGCGTCCCGGAACTAGAGGAGGGAGGTTCCGGGGCCGAGTCGGTCGCGCCCCTCCCCGCCTGCCCCGACCCCGCGCTCACTGTCCATGCCGGGGAAGGGCAGCGGCTGCGCCCCGAGCTGCTGCTCCACCGCGATCTCCAAGTCGAACTTGATGTGGTCCACGCTGGCGATGATTTCCTGCATGGTGGCGGCGGCGGCCACACCGGCCCGGCTCCCGTTCAGGTCCCTTG